TTTGTTATCAACTTGAACACCTCCACATGATAAAACATGACCCAGAAAAGATACTTTGTCCGTTGCAAAATTGCATTTGGATGGCTTTAGTGTTAATTTTGCCTGTTTCAGATAGTAAAATACTTGCTCCAAATGTTGGAGATGCTCTTCAAAGTTTTTGCTGTAAATTATCAAATCATCAATGTAGATCAGCGCAACCTTAAAAAGCAATTTTCGTAGCACTTTGCTCATGAGCTGTTGAAAACAAAGTGGAGAATTTGTCAAACCTTGGGGCAATCGTTTGAATTGATAAAGGCCTTGATGGGTGACGAAAGCAGTTTTATGCTTTGAATCTTCATGTAATGGCACTTGGAAGAAGCCATTAGCAAGGTCTAAAGTTGAGAAGATCTTAGCTTGTGCATTGGCGATGTTATCAACAACATCATCAAAAACAGGAAGAGGCCATGACATTGGTAAAGTGACAGAATTCAACTTTCTGTAGTCACAAACAAATCTATATGAGCCATCACGTTTCTTGACTAGGATAATGGGAGCTGAATACATAGAAGTTGACTCCTCGATCAAATCATACTTCAGAAAATCATCTATAAGTTCTTCAGTGACTTTTTGGAGATGAGGAGATTGACGATATGGTCTACTCTTAACGGGTTGGTGGTTGCCAGTGTCAATGATATGTTGGTGCATGTCAGTCTTACCTAAATCTGCAAGACTCGTTGAAAACATGTTTCTATTTTGTCCCAAAAATCTAAGTAGTCTGTGTCGTTGGTCTGGAGTCAGTTGTGTATTGGTCAAATCAAATCCTAATTCTTTTGCAATTTTAACATAATCCCTGGTGTCATTGTCTCTCTTCTCAGTGGTGTGAACGGTACTGATGAATGGTTGGTCAGAGTCGATTTCATAAACAGAGTCTTGGTCAATGTAACTAAATTTGCCTACAACTGTACCCTTGTCAAGAACCTTTTCTTCTTGGGAGGGATTCATAAGCCTAAATGTAGCAGTTTTGCTTTTCACTTTGGAAAGAGTTCTACCACCTGCTACTTCAGAATGAGCAGTGAGGGAAGCAATGGGTTCAATGAGGATGAGGGAGTCCTCTTTGGTCTCTGATAGTCTAACCTTGAAATGAATTTCACTCTGAGGGGGGATGTAAATCTGATCTATTGTTTTTGCTAATCCACTAATCTCTTGTACTGAATTGGCTATGAAATTGATATATTGCCTGTCTGAGGTGCTGTTGTTAAGTATCAAGGAATGACAGCTATAATCTAAGACTGCATCATTGTCATCAAGGAAGTTTTCACCTAGTATCACTGCCTCTGGAAGTGTAGGCAGAATGTGGAATCTTTGAGAAAATTCCTGATCCTCAATGACAAAATCTAACACAACTGAACCTAACACTTTATGCAATTCGCCGCCAACACCTTTAACCTGTGGAAAGGGTGAGTTTCCAAGAGTAAGGTTTTCAAAAGCTGTGCTAAGAAAAGCAGACGAAATACAAGAAATGGATGCCCCTGTATCTACTAAACAATTTGTTGTTTTTGTGCCAAATTTTGCCTGAATTACACTGTTGGCAAGGGGCGTAACTAAAGACACTGTTGGAATTTCACTTTCAAAGTTACTTTCCATTCCAGACTCCATATTTGCCATGACACCTATTAGTATGTACCGTACTAAATTAAAGGAAGACAAGTAATCAACAATGTTTTACTTACAATATTTGAAGACTTTTTCTTCCTTTGTTGGTGTCTTTGGAGGAGTTGGTTGTCTTTAATCCAGTGTTGAGGTCAGAGGTAGATGCAGTTTGCTTGTTATTCCATCAGATGATCACGGTTGGGCATGTCCTCCAATGGGTTCTTGTAGCTGGTTGTAGTTAGTTCCTGGACTCCGTGGTTCCGAAAACGATGATTCTCCGCCAAATTATCATGGAACTGTTCTGGGTGAACAATACCTTCCAAATGACGTGCTGGTTTTCTTGGGGAATTAGTCAGCAAAGAGCCAGAGTCACAGGAGACTAATCACAATTTTATTTACAAGAACAATTAACAATTTACAATACCTTAGAATATAACTGAGGGTGCCACAGAGAGTCGGTACACACTCTGGGCTGTGGGAGAGAGGTCTGCTTGGTAAGAGAGTCAAACCCCTTCTCTGCTTAAAACCTGCCTACAGTATGTATTTAACAAAAATTTAAACAATAGAAAGGAATGTGATTGGTTGATACACGATTGGTTGTGTCCTAAGCTAAATGGATGGCTAGACAGAGGGGAATACTAAATCCTGTTTATCCTGTTGGACTGGCACTAATCTTGTTGACATATTTACTGGATGCTTTGAAAGAGATTAGGGTGTCACTATAGACGAGCTTGTATGGGGGCTAATCCTTAATGAGTCTTAATTGAAGTAATGTTATTCTAATATACCCCGGTAGGTGATGACAGATATACTTAAATAAATATCCTATGTCTGGGAGATGGGATCTTGATACCTTAGGCTAGCATTTATCTAAAAGCTTCAAATCAATTAAACTATGTAGACGTAACTCTTGTCTTATTGAATAGTATGTCTAGAAGACGCGCTCCCATCACCTTAGGCTAGCAACCATCTAAAAAAGCTTTAACTGAAACTACTGATATTTTATATATGCATTTTACCTAATGATAATTATTACTTGCTAAACTATAATTATATGAAATGATGTATAAATATTACACCATGATAACTCATAAAAGCACTTGATGTAGATCTAATTATTATAAGATAACTTAGTATAAATGTTATCCCATGATAAGGCAGTAATGCAGACACCTTGGCCAAGATAGTTTGGCAAATTTAGACCCACACACTATTTTAAAGGTCTTGGCTTGAACTCATTGCTGACTCCTTTTTAATTACTGTAAGTAGAGATGAGTTACATTATAATAAAACGTGCCGAAGGCTAAGATTAAGCAATTATTGGTCACAAGTATTCTGAATACACAGGTTAATGGGCAACTGAATACACAGGTTAATGGGCCACTGAATACACAGGTTCATGGGCCTCTGAATACACAGGTTAATGGGCCACTGAATACACAGGTTAATGGGCCACTGAATACACAGGTTAATGGGCCTCTGAATACACAGGTTAATGGGCCACTGAATACACAGGTTCATGGGCCACAAGCATTACAAATTCACAATCAACAAGGGGCATATCAGGTTTGTCAACAAACTATTACTTGCTACTTGTACCCTGATCAAGCTTATTGCTTTTTAATTATCCTGGCAGAGGGAAGGCGCCTGGATACTGAACAATGCTGAATTGACCTTTAATAGGCTTCCACAGTCTCACATTGATAGGTAGTTGTTTTGTTGAAACTGCTGTTGAAGTAAATTGGGATCATTCCTGAATATAATGATCTTCCTACACATGAATATCCAAATAAAATTTGTTAACTTAAAAGGCAGATCTCAGATTTATCTAGAATTCCAAACTAAGTGCCCTTGGGAGAAAACCCTTATTTTATGCAAAATTGGAAAAAAATTAATGTCCATATTTTCTTAAATTACAACATTAGATCCAATACAATAATGCCTCTTCCGTTTTCATTGGTCCTGTTATCAGTGAAATACAAGTCATCTCTACAAAGCCATAATATTAGTTATAAATTTATAAATATGGAATCTTTTAATTGCAAGTTGGAAACTTTTACTGACATTTGCTTGGGACCGAGTATCAGCCTCTGAACAGGTCCAGATAAGTCTCTGAAATGATCATGTCTGTTTGCATTCATTTTATTTGACAGCAAGAGTTCCTGGCACTGAATCAATACTGTACAACTCAAGTTACTATACTTATCACAATATATTGTTTATATGATAGACCATGATGATCAGTTTCGCAGTGAATATATATCAGTTTTGACAGCCGAAAGAAGTTGATTTTTCTTTTCAAAGACAATGGTTAATTCAAGACCTCATCTTCATGTTCTGTGTGTGTTTCTTCTCATTAAAGTAAAGCTTGGCATGTGGAAAAACAAATTGATTGATGCTATAGTAAAATCTCTGGTTACTTATTCATGCCACAGTGAAGTTGAAGGGAAATTAGAAAAGAGCTTGAAATTGATTAATATTGTTTCCAATATTAGTTTTAAAAACTCTCCCTAACCAGTCATTCAGTCTAGTTCTGAGTTATGCTTTATGCTTTTTGTTGTGACTCCCAAATGGGAATAAAAGATTTCCCAATTCATGTTTTTATAGTTATACAGCCTTAGAAATTCGTCTTAGTCCTCTGTGTATGTAGCTAGTTCTGCTTGAACAAGACAAAGATGTTTGCTATGTTTACATTGTGTGTCAGTTTTATTCAGTTACTATTTGTAGGAAAATTGAAGCTTTGAGAACTGGTTCAGAATTAAGGCCCTCAAGGTTACTAGTCAATGTGACCATCAAATTTTTTTATAGGCATTATATATATAAGTATCTGTCGCCTTTACAGTATTAAAGAAGTTGTTATCCATAAATTGTGTCTACAATGTGACCATCCTTTGATTTTCACTTGTCCATCACTCGGCATCATTTAGTAGTCTTGGGCTAGCGGAGTGACGTGAATTTCAAAGGCTGGTTTTAATTGATGTGATGGCTTTGTTGAGGTGACTTGCATTCTACTGATATAAACAGGACTAACAAGGAGGAAGAGGCTTAACATTACATTATTGCATTAAACTCAATGTTAGAATATCTGTGAAATTTTTAAAAATAATATTTTTTAGCAAAAGCCCAATTTTGAACTCCCATATAAAGAAAAAAATCCCAGTGAATGGGACCCTGGTTGGATGAAATAGTTCTGTGACTGTTAACATTCTAGCGCCTCATAGGAAGCTTGGGCTGTATGCTCTCCAGGGAGCTGAGAAAGAAAGTCAAGTGCCCCCTGATCCATTGACTAGGATAGTAATAGTGTTAGCATGCATCCCCGGGTGGCCTATAGTGCATTACAAATATCCATTTATTGTTGTATTTGCTTGCAGTGTCTGGAACTGGGGTGCGTGGACAACATCAGGGTGCTAATGTCGTCTTGGAAGAACTTCCAGTATCCTGAAGACAAGGTGGGTGTGGCTTGACACTTGTTTCCTGTGACTTCCTCCGTGGTCTAGTAGAAAGAGTGGCTGTCGGGAGTACACATGGTCAGTGGTTCGATCCCCTGGCTGTGTCATACCAAAAGACGTCAAAAGATGCCACTTGTTGTTACCCGGCCTGATGCTTGGCAGTAAGGGGATGAAACAAGGTCGGCTCAGAGACCAAGTTATGTGTCCAAGTGGGGTATCCATGTTAAACTGAGGCATGGTATCTCAGTGGGCTAGCACTATGAAACTGGCAAAAGACGGACTAGTACAAGCAGACACACATGTGCAGGCACGTTGCTGTGTATGCAGTGATTGGAAAAGAAATTTTCTTCTTGGGCCTTTGGCTGCATGGTTACAAATTTTATGGGCCATTTTTGACAAGTATGGGCCATAAATTTCACTCTATGGCCATTGATAATTGGAATGGGCCATAAATTCAACAAAACTTAAACATTATTGCAGCTGCAAGTTGTTTTTTATTCTTTAAACTCTTAATATTGAACTTCAATCTATAACATCACACTTCATCATCAAATGTCGTGGTGCCAGCTTACAAACAGAACTGCAGTCGTCCCTCATAATACCATGGATGTGCTTAAACCACAGGATAATCACAAATTAATCATGTTGTGACAACATCTGGTAATAAAAAGTATTCCTTGCATATCTGGACCCACTTGCACAAAGTTATCTTAGTGCTACGACTATTGTAAGCCTATGTTAAAGTATGGGAGTTACGATCATCTTAGCGCTAAGATCGCTTTGTGCAAGTGGGCCCTGGACTTATGATTGTAATCTAAGATTCTATTTTATGAATTTTATTCCATTTTTCTTTCAATATTGGTATATCAATTTAACCAATGTTTTACTTATCCTGCATTACTCGTTAATGCATTTAATGCTTACTTTTGACAGACACATGCAACGAAAACACGAGACACATAAGCAAATTCAAGATGGTGGATTGAAACAATACATACATGAATGAAGAAAGATTGATGAAAGTCACATTTCATGAACAAACCTGGAAATTAAAAGAACAAATACACACACTAAGGCCGCCACCCATTTATGCAAAAAGGCAATAAACAACACCACAGGTTAATCCAAAACCGGACAAGTTATTGGAGCATCATGTCTGCCTGGTGACAAGCAGTAGTATGGAGTTTACGTGACATTATCACATCCGGGTCACGTGGTCTCATCTGCGGAGTCCTGCATCACACTTCAGTGAAACAACTTCTTTCTCAGCTGGACCCTGCAGCTTTGTTTTCTGTCAAAAGTAAGCAGTAAATGCATTAAGGAGTATGCAGGATAAGTATACAAATGTAAAAAATATTTAGATTATACTAATGTCAATGAAATCATGTGTGGACTGAATGGCAGATCGCAGTAACTCACCATTATTTACAGCAACCACAATCGGATTACCGCTATTGATGCTTGAAATGAACTTTAACTGCCAAACTTTGACTTGTTAAAAGTCGTATTTGTTGTAGTTCGACTATTATATGGTAGCATATTGGTTAATGTCTGCATATAAAACAATGCCTATCATTGCAAAAACTACCATTGAAATGATAAATGATCACAAGACAACCTTTCAGATAACCTTTCAGGGGAGGGGTGGGGGTGTCGTCCTTGTCCATGGAGCCACAATGCCATCCGGCCAGTTCCAAATTTGCACCTCAGTCACACAGCATGTGGTGACACTAGAATTTGCTCAAAAATAGCGCTGTGCAAATGCAGGATATTGCCAGTTCAAATCATACGTAATCGGAACGTCATAACTGGCGATGTTTTTCTTCCAGCTGGAGTGTATGAGGAAGCTGCGAGAGATGGCGCGGGACGTGGACTGGGACCAGGGTCTGAAGGTGTGGAGACAGGTGTATACATTCCAGCATCCCATCCTGTCCACCCCAGTCAGTGACACTGTCGACATGGGGGAACCCTACCTCATCTCAAGGGAAAACCTGCCAAAGAAACAGCCCAAGAAGAAAGGTGGGAAGTCCGGAAAGAAAGACAAGTTTAGCAAGAAGGGGAAAGACAGGAGTCAGAAGGATGAAGGACATAAGATGGGATCGGGTGATGCTGGTGACCCTGGAAGACCTCCCGACCTTCAGTTTATCAGCAATAAAGGTCAGTATGTTGAAGGTCGAGGCAGGCATCATCGTGGGCAGGTCATAGACGGTCAGTTCGATGATGCCGAGTCAGACTCTGACAAGACGGGTAGCAATGAGCTGTGTACACAGTCTTATATATTTGTGAGAACAGAAGAAACTGTTCTGAGTTCTGGAGTTTCTGACATGACACTTGGAAACAAGGACAGACAGTCTAAAGAAAATACCACGGAGGGGAAAGAAACTAACAATATATGTGCTGACGGAACAAAAGTCTGTGATCCTTCTATAGAATCAGGTGAGGGGGATACAAAAGAAGCAGGTGAAGAAACTGTACAGCCTAGTCAAGCTACCTCATCTTCTGAACAGAATCTCTCGTCCAACACAGAGGAGCAGATAAGTCTCCAGGAGCCCTCTGCCCCTCCATCGAGTCCCCAGAAACCGCCCTCCGAGTCCTCAAGTCCCGAGAAACCCCGAGAGAAGCTGGTGCCCCACAATCCACTCATGCCCTCCTTCCGAGTGACATGTAACCGGGCTGGCGATGGACACAACTTCGACTCCATGTGCGCTGCAGCCAACTTTGGCGGTGCTGTGCAGAACTACTTCGGCTGGAACGTGGATATGAAGAAGTTTGATGTGGAGGTGATCCTGAACATCGAGTGGACGGATGTGTCGGTGTGTATCGGCCTGACCAGGGGGAGTCTCCACCACAGAAACATCACAGTGTTTGGCGCCACCACTCTCAGACCAACGGTCGCCTGCAACATGCTTAGGTAGGAGTGTTAGTCATCGTGAGATTTGTCTTCACATGTATATACATTACAGGGTTTTATCAATCAGTTGATTGTGTCAGTGATGGGATAAATCAACCTGATACATAGCCAAATGAGGTCAACTGACGTCACCCTGACCACCTATACTCACTCACTCACTCACTCACTCACTCACTCACTCACTCACTCACTCACTCACTCACTCACTCACTCACTCACTCACTCACTCACTCACTCACTCAATCACTCACTCACTATGCTGTTTACAGTTTCATGTGCAATCTGTTTTATATTGCTGTCTTCTGTATAAATAAACTGTTCATTTCCATGAAGTGTGGAAACTTAACACAAGTTCTTTGTGAATATCACTTCAACCTCATTCAGCATCTTTGAAAAGTTTAAGCTAGTACCCAACTTTATCCTGTGTTACCATGGTTGCAGACTGTGTAAGATCCAGCCCGGAGATGTGGTGTGCGACCCGATGTGTGGCAGTGGCAGTATACCCATACAGGTCAGTGGAAACCCAGATACTACACGCAATTTGATGCCGTCCAATGTTCATCACATCACAATTTGATGCCATCCATTGTTCATGACATCACAATTTGATGCCATCCATTGTTCATGACATCACAATTTGATGCCATCAGTCGTTCATAACATCACAATTTGATGCCATCCATCGTTCATGACATCACAATTTGATGCCATCCATCGTTCATGACATCACAATTTGATGCCGTCCATCGTTCATGACATCACAATTTGATACCATCCATCGTTCATGACATCACAATTTGATGCCATCCATTGTTCATGACATCACAATTTGATGCCATCCATTGTTCATGACAACACAATTTGATGCCATCCATCATTCATGACATCACAATTTGATGCCGTCCATTGTTCATGACATCACAATTTGATACCATCCATCGTCCATGACAACACAATTTGATGCCGTTAATTGTTCATGACATCACAATTTGATGCCGTTAATTGTTCATGACATCACAATTTGATGCCATCCATCGTTCATGACATCACAATTTGATACCATCCATCGTTCATGACATCACAATTTGATGCCATTGTGTCACCAGAACAGTTGGTCACATGTTGGGTTACCATTTCATTCAGTTTTCTTTCATTTTTGTCTCAATGGGTAATATATATTCAGTGTTAATTTTAGAGCATCAGCCAGGCTTTGTGACTTAGTTGACTGCGTGTCTTCGTACCCCTAAGCATGGATCGTTGCTCACAATATCAATCACTGGATGGTCTGGTTCAGACTTCAGTATTCACAGGCTGCCATTATTTCGCTGGAATGTTTCAATTTCAGTGCCTTTGGCACAGTTAAAATAATAATGGCACAGCTAAAGTATGTTCCTGGCGCCCGATAGTCATACATATTTTAACAAAAACGCTTTGCAACATTGTTTATTATACGCGAAGTATGTCAAACAAATGAGAAATGATGAACATGTGAACACTCTTACTGGACAGTTTGATGCATAAAATATATTTGGGTATTCAGATATGAAGAAGGGCATTACCAGTCTCGGTGAAAAACTTGGTGAAATGACACTAAATTATGTTTTTGCAATATTTATGTTTTGAACTAGATTCTACTTTTGTGCTTTTACAACACTGAAAACTGATACTTATGGCCTCTACAGAACCAGCTTGAAACTTTGTATAAATGTGTAGTTGAAAGTTGAGCAAAACACAAATATTCTGTTTTGCGATATGTTTGTTTTGACCATGATTTGACCTTCATGTGACCTTTGTACTTGAACCATGCTCCCAAGTACTATCAAAAGGCATTCTGCATCATGGTATATTGTCCTGACTGACATTGTCACGTTGGTGGCGCAGGCTGCTCGAGGGTGGCCTGAGGCATACCACCTAAGTGGAGAGAAGTTCCCATTGGCTGTGGACCGGACCGTGCAGAATGTGACGGCTCTCAACAAGGAACTCATCGCTGACAACAAGTAAGGAAGTCCCTACATAATGTCCACAGCATTTAGGTTACAAATATACAGGATATTTATCCTCTTGAATACTTAATTACAAGAAGGTTAAGTCTCACAAAAACGTTTTATGCTATAATCGGAGTACCTTGTCCCTTTACTTCGTACATTTACCATCCGTTATGTGTGCGTCTGTGAGTGTGTATTTGTGAGATGGTGTTTTATGCATGTGTGATTGCAGAAACTAAGGACATCTTGTTTAGCCTCACACACTCCATGCGAGTGGCATCAACATATGATAGAACAAGATATACAACTTCAAGATAAAGCAACTTTCAAGGCTTAAGAACTTGATGTAGTGTTGATTCCAGGCCTTGTTCCAAAGAAGTTGATGATTTGAAGATGTTTTTTTTATTTTCTGTTTGTTTTAGACGCTCAATTGCGGTCGACGCTGGCTACTGGGATGTGACTTATCTCCCCTTCAGAGAGAGCAGCGTGGATGTGTTCATAACTGACTTGGTAGGAAGTTCATTGTTCATTGAGATAGTCATAAGTATAGTTGAGCAAATTTCTTACACACCTGTGGGTGAGAAACCCATTTGAGCTAACTGGTAGCAAACATATGTGTGAGATCAAATTCCAAGTCCGTTTTTGGCTACTCCATGGTGATGACCTGATTGGTTGGTTGGTTTATTGTTGACCGCCGCACTCAGCAATATTCCAGCTATATGACAGCGGTCTGTAAATAATCGAGTCTGGACCAGACAATCCAGTGATTAATATTTTGAGCATCGATCCACGCAATTGGGATCGATGACATGTATCAACCAAGTCAGCGAGCCTGACCCCCCGATCCCGTAAGTCGCCTTTTACGACAAGCATAGTCACCTTTTACGGCAAGCATGGGTTGCTGAAGACCTATTCTATCCCAGAATCTTCATGGGTCGGTGATGACCTGAGATCAAATTATGATGGACTACTTTCCTTGTTGCAAGTCATTGATAACTTGCTCGTTTCAGTCGAATGTTCACCTACATCTGTGTTGATGTTATGTTTTTTCCCAGTGTAAACCCCTGGATGCCACATTGACATATATGTCCCTCCTCTTCAACCCTCACTTCGAAGTCAAACAAAATTCAAAATACATCACACACACTAGATCTAATACACTTCAAAGGAAATTACTAATAGTGACCTCTGAATCTTGAGTACATCGCAATTCTCGCCATTTTTGACACCTTACTAGGCCTAAATCACCATTCACAGTGTGTTTAGAAATCGAAATATAGGATATTCACTCGAAGAATTGAATTTCAAAAGTAGCATATTAGTGATCACTGGTATCTGTTTTTCATCAAATCACTAATGACAATTCTGAATCGTTGCCGATAAGTCTAGAATCGTTTAGAATGTTTTGGAAAAAAGCAAACACGAACGTCGAAGTGTACAACTCGTTTTTGCTTTCGCTCATTAGATACGTTTTGAAACAAGTCGTTGCAAGATAAATGGTATCTGACAGGCACTCGTGTAGTAATCTCTATATCAGTGGTGGTTTGGGCTGGTATCAAACATTTAGCACAGACGATAGTGACCCACGAAGATCCAGGGTAGAATAGATCTTCAGCAACCCATGCTTGCCATAAAAGGCGACTATGCCTGTCGTCAGAATGTTAGACTAACAGGATCGGGTGGTCAAGCTCGCTGACTTAGTTGAATCATGTCATTGTATTCCAACTGTGTAGATCGATGATCATGACGTCAAATCACCAGATTGTCTGGTGCAGGCTCGAATATTTAAAGACTGCGTCATTTGGCTGGAATATTTCTGAGTGCGGCGTTAAACAACAAACAAACAAAGACGTCTGTGTTTGTTATTTCCTGGTGTATTCTCAGTGTTAAATTTGTGCATATGCTGTCAATAGCAAGTACCCTGTGGGGATAGTATGTCATATAGGCTACCAGGTTTATGTCAAAGTCAACTGTGGATTGGGAGGCAAAAATGGCAACTGAGTATTTATAGTACTAAGATGGGGTGGGGGGGATGATCGCCAGGGGAGACAACTCTCAGCTTCTTCCTGGCATTACACTCAAATGACATGAATCCCTGCTGTACAGACTCAATTTCCACTGGCTGGTCAAGGCTCAGTTATTTTACAGGTCAATTTGCTGTGGCTGTGAAAGAGCTGAAAAGCAAGACCTCATGTCGCTTCAGGCCTAATTTGAATTTGAAAATCAATATGCCATGAGATATTATTAACCTCTAGCACTGTTTAGATGAGTTTTATCATGGCTGTATTAGGAGCAGTATTTCCTATGGAGTTGTCTTGTGATCACACTGATACCCGCATTTACATAACTGATACCGTATGAATGATGACAAGTGATGCAGTAGCGGCATACAGACGAAATTACCCCACTGCTTAATCATCGCTGAGATAATTAGACAGGCTGCTGTCTTGGCTAAGCAGTTGCCAGATAAGAAATCTCAAATTTCCTTCGGATGATTGAATACAACCCAAACCAAATTGTTATTGATTAAGGAATTACCCTTCCAGAGTTCATTTTAGAATTTAAATCGAAAGGGTAATTTTTCTTCCCATTGATTTTAGTTGTGAGTTTTTCCACCTTGGGGCGCTCTTCAACTCGCACCGTAATCACATTGATTTCAGCTCCTATCTTGTTTTCTCTTTTGCAGCCCTTCGGCAAAAGGTGAGCTTAAGAATTTTGTTCTTTTCAACACGCTTTTATCACCCTTGGTCAACTGCCAAGATTAATTTATGTTGGGAAGAAATGAAGAAGAAAGATTTTCAGCATAGGTTTTTTTGGATCTGAGATGGCATCAAATGACAATTTTTGGAAAACCAGAAATTGTCCTGGTTTTAATAAGAACTTAAAGTAATTACTTTATTTCACAGGATAGCTGCTCCATGTTTCAGAGTGCTGACAATCCGACTGTTGTGTGTAGTTTTCAGTATCATGGGGTGTAGTGTAAATTACTGTATGGTTATGTTCTGAAAGAGTGGAGTCAGTGTTTGTGTTTACTGTAGTGCATGTAATTACTGCTTTTGGTCTGGATGAAATTGAATGGTGTGGTAATTATATATGTAGCTGGGTTTGATATGAAACAGAGAGCATGTCGTCACCGGCTGCTGTTTTCCTCTCCATCTCTTCCTAAGTATGATGATGATCAGCGTCTGACGTAGCCTCGACTGACAAATCATTTTTAATCATTTTTCTAGACAACTGAAAGAACAAAAAACAACATGAAATCATTTAATGATGCATTCAAGAGGCGCTCGACTCAGATTTCAGACCTATCATGTTTAATTCAAGTCTTTAAGCATCACATTGCTTTTTCTACTAACACAGATTTTATGATATATTCTTCTCAAAAAATGTTTAAGAACATCCTAGTCTTTCCTTTGAGTGTTTCAGGGTGGATAAGGGGGTGCTATATATACAGTGTGACTGTTTCACGATGGGATGGAGTGGAGCTATATATACTGTGTGACTGTTTCAGGATGGGATAGAGTGGAGCTATATATACAGTGTGACTGTTTCGGGATGGAGTTGAGCTATATATACAGTGTGACTGTTTCTGGATGGGATGAAGTGGAGCTATATACACAGTGTGACTGTTTCAGGATGGGATAGAGTGGAGCTACATATACAGTGTGACTGTTTCAGGATGTATAAGGGGGAGCTATATATACAGTGTGACTGTTTCAGGATGGAATGGAGTGGAGCTATATATACTGTGTGACTGTTTTAGGATGGGATAGAGTGGAGCTATATATACAGTGTGACTGTTTCAGGATGGAATGGAGCGGAGCTACATATACAGTGTGACTGTTTCAGGATGGGATAGAGTGGAGCTTTTTATACTGTGTGACTGTTTCTGGATGGGATGGAGTGGAGCTATATGTACAGTGTGACTGTTTCAGGATGGGATGGAGTGGAGCTATATGTACAGTGTGACTGTTTCAGGATGGATAAGGGGGAGCTATATATACAGTGTGACTGTTTCAGGATGGAATGGAGTGGAGCTATATATACTGTGTGACTCTTTTAGGATGGGATAGAGTGGAGCTATATATACAGTGTGACTGTTTCAGGATGGAATGGAGTGGAGCTACATATACAGTGTGACTGTTTCAGGATGGGATAGAGTGGGGCTTTTTATACTGTGTGACTTTCTGGATGGGATGGAGTGGAGCTATATATACAGTGTTACTGTTTCAGGATGGGATGAAGTGGAGCTATATGTACTGTGTGACTGTTTCAGGATGGGATGGAGTGGAGCTACATATACAGTGTGACTGTTTCAGGATGGGATGAAGTGGAGCTTTATATACAGTGTGACTGTTTCTGGATGGGATGAAGTGGAGCTTTATATACAGTGTGACTGTTTCAGGATGGGATGGAGTGGAGCTACATATACAGTGGTACTGTTTCAGGATGGAATGGAGGGGAGCTACATATACAGTGTGACTGTTTCAGGATGGAATGGAGGGGAGCTACATATACAGTGTGACTGTTTCAGGATGGAATGGAGGGGAGCTGTATATACGGTGCGACTGTTTCAGGATGGGATGGAGTAGAGCTATATATACTGTGTGACTGTTTCAGGAAGGGTTGAGTGGAGCTATATATACAGTGTGACTGTTTCAGGATGGGAAGGAGTGGTGCTATATACAGTGTGACTGTTTCAGGATGGGATGGAGTAGAGCTGTATATACAGTGTGACTGTTTCAGGAAGGGTTGAGTGGAGCTATATATACAGTGTGACTGTTTCAGGATGGGATGGAGTAGAGCTGTATATACAGTGTGACTGTTTCAGGATGGGTTGAGTGGAGCTACATATACAGTGTGACTGTTTCAGGATGGGATAGAGTGGAGCTACATATACAGTGTGACTGTTTCAGGATGGATAAGGGGGAGCTATATATACAGTGTGACTGTTTCAGGATGGAATGGAGTGGAGCTACATTTACAGTGTGACTGTTTCAGGATGGATAAGGGGGAGCTATATATACAGTGTGACTGTTTCAGGATGGAATGGAGGGGAGCTACATTTACAGTGTGACTGTTTCAGGATGGATAAGGGGGAGCTATATATACAGTGGTACTGTTTCAGGATGGAATGGAGGGGAGCTACATATACAGTGTGACTGTTTCAGGATGGATAAGGGGGAGCTATATATACAGTGTGACTGTTTCAGGATGGAATGGAGTGGAGCTATATATACTGTGTGACTGTTTCAGGATGGGATAGAGTGGAGCTACATATACAGTGTGACTGTTTCAGGATGGGATGGAGTGGAGCTACATATACAGTGGTACTGTTTCAGGATGGAATGGAGGGGAGCTACATATACAGTGTGACTGTTTCAGGATGGAATGGAGGGGAGCTACATATACAGTGTGACTGTTTCAGGATGGAATGGAGGGGAGCTGTATATACGGTGCGACTGTTTCAGGATGGGATGGAGTAGAGCTATATATACTGTGTGACTGTTTCAGGAAGGGTTGAGTGGAGCTATATATACAGTGTGACTGTTTCAGGATGGGATGGAGTGGTGCTATATACAGTGTGACTGTTTCAGGATGGGTTGAGTGGAGCTACATATACAGTGTGACTGTTTTAGGATGGGATAGAGTGGAGCTACATATACAGTGTGACTGTTTCAGGATGGATAAGGGGGAGCTATATATACAGTGTGACTGTTTCAGGATGGAATGGAGTGGAGCTATATATACTGTGTGACTGTTTTAGGATGGGATGAAGTGGAGCTATATATACAGTGTGACTGTTTCAGGATGGAATGGAATGGAGCTATATATACAGTGTGACTGTTTTAGGATGGGATAGAGTGGAGCTATATATACAGTGTGACTGTTTCAGGATGGGATGGAGTGGAGCTACATATACAGTGTGACTGTTTCAGGATGGGATAGAGTGGTGCTATATATACTGTGTGAATGTTTCAGGATGGGTTGAGTGGAGCTATATCTACAGTGTGACTGTTTCAGGATGGGATGGAGTAGAGCTGTATATACGGTGTGACTGTTTCAGGAAGGGTTGAGTGGAGCTATATACGGTGTGACTGTTTCAGGATGGGTTCAAGATACAACAACCTGAAGCTGTACCCAGAGGCCCTGATTGAGATGGCGCGGGTGTGTCGCCCAGGGAGTGGTCGAGTCTGTCTCCTCACGCAGGACAAGAAGTGCATGATAAGGGTAACACATCACACATGTTACATCACACAAACCTTCATACCCGTGAAGATCTGAGTTAGATTAGATCTAAGAGGCGACTATGCTTGTCGTAAGAGTTAACTAACAGGATCAGTTGGTCAGACTCGCTGACTTGGTTGATGCATGTCATCATATTGCGTAGATCAATGCTCATGATATCAATCACTGGATTGTCTGGTCCAGACTAGATTTCTTATAGACCCCTGTCATATAGATGGAATATTGCTGAGTGTGTCGTTAAATAACAAACAAACAAACGCAAACCTCTGACTCAGACTTTTCATGAGGGGACTGCTGTTGATGTTGAAAATCGTGGTAGACAACTCGCAACTCTCTCACCATGGATTCTTACCCTTACTGCCATCACTTTGTCTGGTCCTTGTGAGGAAAAGTCCCCAGCAGTGTTAGGGGGCCATCACTGACAGAGGTGTCCAAAGGACCAGTTGTTATCTTAAACTATTTACTCAATATTTGATCATGCTTGTAATGTGAGCACAAATTACTGAATTTTAATAAGAATATGTTTTCCAGGTAATCCACACTCTCGGTCGCTACTGGCAACGACGCATGACTCTGAGTATCAACCTGGGGGGTCTTGCAGCAGGCGTGTACCTCCTCAACAGGACACTGAACCCAGTGGTCCAGGGGGAGACAACTCCATCCACAACCCAGGAAGACACTTCAGCTTGCAGGGACTTCCGTACTGCTATGCCCTCTGACCCCCGGTCAGGCCCTGGCTTCACTGTGGTGCGACATACATTCAGTTCACTGCAGGAAGCAAACAGAAGTCCTGCAGATACAGAAACAACAGACGCTGATTAGATGGGCGGTCAAGAATTACAAGTTGAACGTCCTCAGTCGTGACAGTGTTTAAGAAAATGACCACGCAATATGACTGTGAAAAAAGTCTATTTGGAAGGAAGTATTTATTTTTGTACCTCATGGCTATTTGCTATACAATCTGTTGGTGTAGCAGAGAGACATTTTGCGTGGAAATCTCTATTAATCCTGCCCAGTGCTAGTGGTAAACTGTACCAACGCCTCTATCTCATAATCATTCGTTTCTATTACGTAAGAGGGGCGGTCGGGTAGCCTAGTGGTTAAAGTGTTCCGGGCTCGATTCCCGACATGCCTTCAATGTGTGAAGCCCATTTCTGGTGTCCTCCGCCGTCATATTGATGGAATATTGCTAAAAGCGGCGTAACACCATACTCACTCACTCACTCATTACTATTACGTAAGTGGACCTTCTTGTCATATTCATAGAGCATGCAGTGCTTCAATTAGGTGGTGTTGTTAGGTGATTTGTGTGAATTAATTTCACAGTTTGCTACATTTAAGTGTTACAACAGCATTTGCCCAGTACTTGATCATCCTCTGTTTGATATCTCCATTCTGTGATAATTAAAATATTAATTATGTACCTCAGCAAATTTGCTACCCGAGCCTCCTTCGAGTTGCTTTCAATGATAAGAATCCATCAAATAATGTTTGTTGTTTCAAGGTCAACTGACCCATAATCCATACAATCATAATAGTACAAATTTCGAAGCACAAACACATTTAAATCATATCACATCGTTTTTAGAAAATATGAATAATCGATCAGTGTTTTCAGTTACAACTAATGGCTTCAAACAATGGACGTCCTTCTTTTGTATGTAATCATGTCAGGAGTTCAGAAATCTTCATGTGAGGGACAATGAAAAATAACCTGTTTTTCATCTTCAGTGGTGATCACAAAAAGTAGATGGGAGCATCAAGAAAAGTATTCACACTCAGTGAAAAGTCCAAAAGATTTCCAGAATCCAATACCATTTAACAATGTTTCTCAACCAACTTCAGCACACTCTCGCATTAGTTTTACAATGGGTAATCAAGGATTCATAAGCACAAGCTGATCATGTTTGTATTAGCAGTGTGAGAGCTATTGGAGCTGAGGAAGTACTTCACAAGGGAGATAACTCTGCATACTATTCGCTGTCAAAGGTGTATGTTAGTGAAGGTAGTAATGAGATTCTGGTTGTTTGACACTGCTCTGTTCAGCTACAGTCATGTCCAATACTGCTGGGTGTAGGATGTCATGTTTCATATAATCACAAGAAAATTTATTGATGTTAATTTGTAAGATAAATTGGATGTACTGTTATGTACATTCATAAATGATAGATACTTTGATTGTTTATGTCAGAAGCCAAACATAGACAATTTACCTTTCATATGTCTCATTTGTTGTCTAAAGCCACGCAGGGCAATATTCCAGCTACATGTATATGATCGCTGCCTGTATATAATAGAGTCTGGACCAGACAATGCAGTGATTAATATTGTGAGCAACAATCCATGCCGTCAGGGTACGATGTCATGCTATCAACCAAGTCACTGGGCCTGACCACTGAATCTACTAAGCTGCCTCTTGCAAGAACAAATAGAGTTATATGCCCCTTCTGAAATGACTCAAAGAAAGTATGTTCTTCTATACCTTTATATTTCTGGTATTTGGTATTTGTTTTATGTTCATAGATTGATGTCTCAAAACAGACATATGAAAGGTAAATTGTCTATGTTTGGCTTCTGACATAAACAATCAAAGTATCTATCTTTTACGTAAGATAGGACCCGTGAAAATCCAGGTTATAGTAGGTCTTCAGAAACCCATGCTTGACGTAAGATGGGAATCTGCTTGCCATAAAAGGCAAATAACGGGATTGGGTGGTCAGGCTCGCTGACTTGGTTGATGCATGTCATTGTATCCCAATTGCGTGGATCGATGCTCATGATGTCAATTACTGGATTGTCTGGTCCAGACATGATTATTTACAGACCGCCGTCATACAGCTGCAATATTGCTGAGTGCAGCATTAAACTAACAAAACCATGTAAGACAGACGGATGAGAACTTACTGGTGTTTGTATTTGTTTTATAACTGTTTCTGAAGAAATAGAAAGATGCATAGAAAGCAAACGGTTCGTGTGTCATATTACCCATAAGGGTAGAATGATCGTGTGTAATAACTTCAGGATATCTGATATTTAGCAGTTCTCGATACTGATTGGTCAATTGAAGCCATATGATGTCGCCATATGGAAAAAATGTGATATGATTCATCTATTGTTCATGACGTCACAAATTGACAACATTATGTCATCTGAACAAAAGGCTGCCATCAGTCAAGTTTCTCTGTAGGGTTAACATGTCATACATTATTTCTTCATTTTCTCTTAAAATGTCAATGAGTACTATACAGAGTAACCTGCTCAAAACTGAGAATTACGAATTATCTGAATTATTGAATGAATGATGTAAGTCCCTTGCTAAATTCACATGGACCGATAATCCATAGCCAAGAGCTTGTTGGTTATTCTCAAATTATGATCTGTTAGTTAAGTTATTGTTCAGGTTGTTTGTCATGAAATCATGCTGCTAATACCAATTAAGGTGAGACATGATCTGTTGTTGCTTCTGTGAAACACATATGTACTTTTTCAGGGAAGCTGTGAATGTTTTTACCATGGTCAAATCCTATTTGACAGTGAATGGTTTGTTTCAATGTTTCTCTGTGTTAAGACTCCGTGTTGAATCATGTATATTAATGGTGATTTCATTTGGTTGATATGCCTGCTTTGTTTAAATGCATACATTACTTTGTGGACAAACTGTTAGAAATAACTACATTGTATTTTGTGTCCATTAAAAAGTTGTTTCTGCTACCTCTGACTTTGGTATTCAAATTCTAATATTTTTCATTAATGCAAAGATTGCAAAGGTATTTTAGATTCATTGCCAGAGAAGAAATTTAAGGGTCACTTGGGATATTTGGCTCTGGGTTTCTGATACTGTGTCAACTGCGGGGACACGGGTGGCCCAGTCGCCGCGATTCGCTGTGCAGAGTTACGTCCCTTGGACACGCCAGAAACCTATGATTGTGGGTTCAAATACCAATTCGCCCCGATTATGTTTCTAGGTTTGTCAGCACCATACCTGTGCTCGTGGGTTTCACCGATGTTGTAAACGTCTGAGACCTGTATCACTTCAGGCTTTCCTCCCACATTAAGCTGACACGCCGTGATATAACTGGAATACTGTTAAAAGCTGCGTTAAACCCAACTCACTCACTCACTGTGTCAACTGCAAAATGTCCACAGCATCCTATGACTTGTTGATATTATTGAAATATTGTTTAGAGGCGACTGACCCGTGATGATTCCGGGGTAGAATAGGTCTTCAGCAACCCATGCTTGCCGTAAAAGGCGACTATGCTTGTCGTATAGGGTGACTGACGGGATCGGGTGGTCAGGCTCACTGACTTGGTTGAAGCATGTCATCGATCCCATTTGCGTGGATCGATGATCATGATATCAGTCACTGGATTGTCTGGTCCAGACTCGATTATTGACAGACTGCCGTCATATAGCTGGAATATTGCTGAGTTCGGCGTTAAACAACAAACAAACAAACTGTAAGAGGCGACTAACAGAATCAGGCTCGCTGACTTGGTTGATGCATGTCATGGTATCCCTATTGCGTGGATTGATGCTATTGAAGTCAATCACTGGATTGTCTGGTCCAGACTCGGTTATTTACAGACCGCTGTCACATTGTTAAGTGCCGCCTTAAACAAAAAACAAACAAACAAGTAATATGCACATTCGATCATGACAGTAATTCTTGTTTAACAGCATGCCAACATATAGAAAACCTGTTTGTTCACTGCTGGTATCAACACACTTCACCATCATGGATATGAACAAAGGATGTTTATTCACGTATGTAGAGCCCCTGTTTCAAAATAATCAAACCTTTACACTAGCCATCAGAATATAGGACTGGAATAGAGAGGAAGTGAACTTGGAGTATTACAGTTATATCACTGCCTGTCAGCTTTACTTTGGTGAAAGCAACGAGCACGGGTATGGTGCTGACAAATCTAAGGAGCATAATCGGGATGAACCAGATTTCAACCCACGGTCACGGGTTTCAGGCGTGTCCAAGGGACACAACTCTACACAGCGAATTGACGACGGGGCCACCCGAGCCCCCAAAACTGGAATAATTCTGACCAAATAAATCAGGTGATGAGTATTTTGTGTTTTCCTGAACCTGGCTGGTTGCTGATCCTGGTTCCGTTAGTTGTTCATGCTTTCAGTCACTGGTTTGCCTGATTCAGACGAGATTATTGTCAGGTTGCCATGACAGCTGAAATATCTGATCTTGAGATCGTAGTAAAATATCCGAGTTTAATGAGACTGAACTGCAAACTGGCATCAACCTGTAGCCGAAATAACTGCCTGCTTGAGGCTGGTAAATATTCTGTCGGGCTGCATGAAATTTTCCTCCACCTGTCCGACTGTCTGGCAGATAATATTAAGACTGCTTAGTTACGTATTCAGCTTTATCATAACTCCTCGTAGATTGGCAAGAAATTGTTTGCATTATGTCAACTGAATCAAGACGCGATTTGTCTTATTCTTTTGCGATTTTTCAATTTGTATAATGTCTGGATGCGGGCAGGTAACTTTGAAAATGGGGAGGCAAAACCTATGGGTCACCTGCCCGACTGTCTTGTTGGGTTTTAAAATTATTTCAAACACTGGCATCAACAACATCGACTTTACTGTTTTAATCGTCCCGTGTGAAGCATTACATCCCTGCATGAAGAACTCATGATATGGAACTGCACCAGAAGTCAGGAGTGTAGTCTGTCTCCCAGACACTGAGAATATATTGAAAAAGGAATCCAATTCGAGTCGCGAATTATTTGGCAAATCTAGAATGCCTCCTGAAATTGAGCATAGTTCTGGGCTCCATTATAATTTGAATTGTTATTTTTTTAGATACATATTTTTTAATGAGATATCTTTATTTCGGGGACTATGTTAGTTTATCAGGCATGTTATACGCGAAACTGTGTGTGCCCATGCTCGTCAGCTGAGAAATTGAAAGAAGGCTGAATAAGTTCTGGGTGTCCTCGAAATATTTGTGCAAACGCACCATCAACACAAGGTATCAATCACGAGCACCAATCGAATAATGCCTTTGAAAAGTTTGAAGTTTGAAAAAAGGAAGTTCTGATCCTACACTGTGAATCACCTTTCTGTCAATTAATAACTTTCATAGTGGTGACATTTGCAATTATTATGTGAAATATTGACACATTTCAAAATAATTTACGTGTCTTTTTAGCGATGTGAAAAATCTCCACACACAAAAATTGTCTGTATATCGGTAAAACCATTGATAGTATCTTGCTCAGTTTAACTGCTTGCATTGCAGTAAACTATACAACCACTCAATTATAGGGGATATTGATATTTCAAAATCGACCATTTTTATGTGACGACGTGAATAAATAAACACATGTTGCATCATAAGGCAGCAAATTAATAAAACTCAGAAAACAACGTATAATGTTTTAAATCCTTATTTGAAGTTCCCATAATAATGTACAGTTATACACAATTATACACTCTGTTAAGAGTGATGTCCAGCCTTCGAATAACTGTCGACATTATGTATCAAGATTATAGAAAGACAAGATATGAACTACATAAAACATTTTATTATTAACTTAAAGCAACAACCATTACAATTATACATAAACTATACATAACTGGTATATAGAAAGTATGTAAACATCATTACTAATGTGCATATATGATTTACCTACGCTCATTATAGATATGATATAACATGTTATATAAAAGAGGTCCTACAGATTAACAATTGGACAAAAACTAAAGGATTTTCAAATTATCGACACTGCCAGCGTGTGAACTGTACTCATTTCTACTGCATCTTCTGGCTCCCTGTTTCGCTGGGCCCGATGCTTTTATTTTGTTCCTTTTTTCTTTTGTTCTTTTTTTTTAGATAATGTTCTTGATGTACTTGTATCATCCGCTGTTCTCTACATCCTACCAACCATCATCAACTCGCTCCACTCAGTCTACTTCTTTGCTGGCTTCTTCCTCCTCGCCGCCCGCTCTTCCTCCAGCCTCTCCAGTTTCTTCTCCCTCATGTGGAGCTGATGTTCCGCCTTCATTTTCTTGATGAATTGGCGACGTTTCTTCTCGTCCTTGACAGCTTTGTGCTTTATCTCTCTGTCCAGTTGTTTCCTCTGGACTTTCTCCACGAACCTGTATAAAAAAAGACACGCAATATGAAATTAGTTCAATATAAAATCAATACAAAGGCATGTTTAGTAATTCAAACGGTTTAGGTGTTTTGATTCTTCTTCCTAAAGATTTTACCTGTCAAGTCGGAACAGATCAGCCTTCTGTCTCCTCCTCTCAGCTGTGTAGAAGCATCGCACTGGGATTTGCTCCAGACGTCGGGGAGCTTTGCCACGGGGGACAACCCCCTCCACGACAGGGACAGAGAAGGCCACTCCTCCGCAGGACTGACGGTCGGGGACCAAACCCTCATCTCGTAGCTGTTGAAGAATCTGCGCCTCTGACAGGCGGGGTGTGGGCGGTGTCACCTGACACTTGGCGTAGTACAGCTCGTGAGGACACTTGATCTTGCCCGTCAGAGCCTCCTCGGGAGATGTCTGCTTGAAAGGCTTGACCTTGGTTTGTTTGCATCCCATTTTAGACGAAGATATTGACATCTATCAAAGACACGTCCAGTCTTCACGAATATGGTTGAGACAATGACGTGACGTCATAATGTAGTGACGTCACTAACTCCAGACCATTCCATTTCAGCGAATCCTATCGTGGATCTTCCTCGGAAAGTATTTTGGGTTTTTTTTTAATTCAAAAGGTTTATCCATGGCCTGTTGCACACCTTCCTTTTAAAAGAATCTTTTACTCGGGTAATGATGTTTGCATTGGCGGCCGTAAGCGAAAAAATGTGACGACAAACAAAAATATGCAAAAAATTTTAATTAGTCCAAATGGAGTTTCGCCACCATAGCTTTCATCTTGGCTGAAATATAGCGACATTTAAAATATATACAAGCTACCTTATTGGAAAAATACCCGAGGGGCCCTTAGCGACATGGAACAAAGGCCCTTATAATAACCGTATCGGCGATATATGCCTATCAAAATTATGAGATACGAATGGCTGTCACTCGGCTGTAGTAGATTATCTCACATAACATGTATACGTGCTCGTAACGTTAATACAGCATTTTATAAAGCAAGGCATAACACATTAATGCTATGTATATTACTCAAAAGAACTTAAAGAAATACCTGATTTTTTCATTTCAATAGTTAATACGTCATATGTTCTTTAACTTCTTTTGAGTAAAACCCAGCCACCAACAGTGAAGCCAAACAACCCTAACAGTGAAACCCACCTACCCACAGTGAAACACACCTACCCACAGTGAAACCCACCTACCCACAGTGAAACCAAACAACCCACACAGCGAAACCCACCCACCCACAGTGAAACCAAACAACCCACACAGTGAAACCCACCCACCCACAGTGAAACCAAACAACCCACACAGTGAAACCCACCTACCAACAGTGAAACTAAACAACCCACACAGTGAAACACACCTACCCACACAGTGAAACACACCTACCCACAGTGAAACACACCTACCCACAGTGAAACCAAACAACCCACACAGTGAAACCAAACAACCAACACAGTGATACACACCTACCCACAGTGAAACAAACCTACCCACAGTGAAACACACCTACCCACACAGTGAAACACACCTACCCACACAGTGAAACACACCTACCCACAGTGAAACAAACCTACCCACAGTGAAACACACCTACCCACAGTGAAACAAACCTACCCACAGTGAAACACACCTACCCACACAGTGAAACACACCTACCCACACAGTGAAACCCACCTACCCACAGTGAAACCAAACAACCAACACAGTGAAACACACCTACCCACAGTGAAACCAAACAACCCACACAGTGAAACCAAACAACCCACACAGTGAAACACACCTACCCACAGTGAAACACACCTACCCACAGTGAAACAAACCTACCCACAGTGAAACACACCTACCCACACAGTGAAACACACCTACCCACACAGTGAAACCCACCTACCCACAGTGAAACCAAACAACCCACACAGTGAAACCCACCTACCCTAAGTGAAACTAAACAACCCACACAGTGAAACCCACCTACCCACAGTGAAACCAAACAACCAACACAGTGAAACCAAACAACCCACACAGTGAAACACACCTACCCACAGTGAAACAAACCTACCCACAGTGAAACACACCTACCCACACAGTGAAACACACCTACCCACAGTGAAACCAAACAACCCACACAGTGAAACCAAACAACCCACACAGTGAAACACACCTACCAACAGTGAAACTAAACAACCCACACAGCGAAACACACCTACCCAGAGTGAAACCAAACAACCCACACAGTGAAACCCACCTACCCACAGTGAAACTAAACAACCCATACAGTGAAACCCACCTACCCACAGTGAAACCAAACAACCCACACAGTGAAACCCACCTACCCTAAGTGAAACTAAACAACCCACACAGTGAAACCCACCTACCCACAGTGAAACCAAACAACCCACACAGTGAAACCAAACAACCCACACAGTGAAACACACCTACCCACAGTGAAACAAACCTACCCACACAGTGAAACCAAACAACCCACACAGTGAAACACACCTACCCACAGTGAAACACACCTACCCACAGTGAAACACACCTACCCACAGTGAAACACACCTACCCACACAGTGAAACACACCTACCCACAGTGAAACCAAACAACCCACACAGTGAAACCCACCTACCCACAGTGAAACCAAACAACCCACACAGTGAAACCCACCCACCCACAATGAAACCAAATAATCCACACAGTGAAACCCACCCACCCAGAGTGAAACCAACATTCACACACAGTGAAACCCACCTACCCACAGTGAAACCAAACAACCCACACAGTGAAACCAAACAACCCACACAGTGAAACACACCTACCCACAGTGAAACACACCTACCCACAGTGAAACACACCTACCAACAGTGAAACTAAACAACCCACACAATGAAACCCACCTACCCATAGTGAAACCAAACAACCCACACTGTGAAACCCACCTACCCACAATGAAACCAAACAACCCACACAGTGAAACCCACCTACCCACAATGAAACCAAACAACCAACACAGTGAAACCAAAAACCCACACAGTGAAACCCACCTACCCACAGTGAAACCCACCTACCCACAGTGAAACACACCTACCCACAGTGAAACACACCTACCCACACAGTGAAACACACCTACCCACACAGTGAAACCCACCTACCCACAGTGAAACCAAACAACCCGCACATTGAAACCTAACAACCCACACAGTGAAACACACCTACCCACAGTGAAACACACCTACCCACAGTGAAACACACCTACCCACAGTGAAACACACCTACCCACAGTGAAACACACCTACCCACACAGTGAAACCCACCTTCTCACAGTGAAACCAAAGAACCCACACAGTGAAACACACCTACCAACAGTGAAACACACCTACCCACAGTGAAACCCACCTACCCACAGTGAAACCAAACAACCCACACAGTGAAACCCACCTACCCACAATGAAACCAAACAACCCACACAGTGAAACCCACCCACCCACAGTGAAACCAAACAACCCACACAGTGAAACCCACCTACCCACAGTGAAACTAAACAACCCATACAGTGAAACCCACCTACCCACAGTGAAACCAAACAACCCACACAGTGAAACCCACCTACCCTAAGTGAAACTAAACAACCCACACAGTGAAACCCACCTACCCACAGTGAAACCAAACAACCCACACAGTGAAACCAAACAACCCACACAGTGAAACACACCTACCCACAGTGAAACAAACCTACCCACACAGTGAAACCAAACAACCCACACAGTGAAACACACCTACCCACAGTGAAACACACCTACCCACAGTGAAACACACCTACCCACAGTGAAACACACCTACCCACACAGTGAAACACACCTACCCACAGTGAAACCAAACAACCCACACAGTGAAACCCACCTACCCACAGTGAAACCAAACAACCCACACAGTGAAACCCACCCACCCACAATGAAACCAAATAATCCACACAGTGAAACCCACCCACCCAGAGTGAAACCAACATTCACACACAGTGAAACCCACCTACCCACAGTGAAACCAAACAACCCACACAGTGAAACTAAACAACCCACACAGTGAAACACACCTACCCACAGTGAAACACACCTACCCACAGTGAAACACACCTACCAACAGTGAAACTAAACAACCCACACAATGAAACCCACCTACCCATAGTGAAACCAAACAACCCACACTGTGAAACCCACCTACCCACAATGAAACCAAACAACCCACACAGTGAAACCCACCTACCCACAATGAAACCAAACAACCAACACAGTGAAACCAAAAACCCACACAGTGAAACCCACCTACCCACAGTGAAACCCACCTACCCACAGTGAAACACACCTACCCACAGTGAAACACACCTACCCACACAGTGAAACACACCTACCCACACAGTGAAACCCACCTACCCACAGTGAAACCAAACAACCCACACATTGAAACCTAACAACCCACACAGTGAAACACACCTACCCACAGTGAAACACACCTACCCACAGTGAAACACACCTACCCACAGTGAAACACACCTACCCACAGTGAAACACACCTACCCACACAGTGAAACCCACCTTCTCACAGTGAAACCAAAGAACCCACACAGTGAAACACACCTACCAACAGTGAAACACACCTACCCACAGTGAAACCCACCTACCCACAGTGAAACCAAACAACCCACACAGTGAAACCCACCTACCCACAATGAAACCAAACAACCCACACAGTGAAACCCACCCACCCAGAGTGAAACCAACATTCACACACAGTGAGAACCCACCTACCCACAGTAAAACCCACCCACCCACACGGTGAAACCAAACTACCCTCAATGAAACCCACCTACCCACAGTGACACTGACCTACCCACAGTGACACCCACATACCCACAGTGAAACCCATCATCACACACAGTGACACCCACCTACCAACATTGAAACCCATCATCACACAGTGACACCCACCTACCCACAGTGACACCCACCTACCCACAGTGACACCAACCTACCCACAGTGAAACCCACCTACCCACAGTGACACCCACCTACCCACAGTGACACCCACCTACCCACAGTGACACCCACCTACCCACAGTGAAACCCACCTACCCACAGTGACACCCACCTACCTACAGTGAAACCCATCATCACACACAGTGACACCCACCTACCCACAGTGACACCCACCTACCCACAGTGAAACCCACCTACCCACAGTGAAACCCAACTACCCACAGTGACACCCACCTACCTACAGTGAAACCCACCTACCCATGGTGACACCCACCTACCCACAGTGACACCCACCTACCCATGGTGACACCCACCTACCTATAGTAAAACCCATCATCACACACAGGGAAACCCACCTACCCACAGTGAAACCAACCTACCCACAGTAAAACCAACCTACCCACAGTGAAACTCACCTACCCACAGTGAAACCCAACTACCCACAGTGACACC